GTTTTTGAGGCTGTTTAAGGGATCCGCTCACGTGAGGTGAGAGATTCTGTAAGTGATCGGTGCAATTGGGTTGTAGTCAGGAGATTACTTTAGTTAAATATGTTATGGTGTCTATGAGTGTAGTGTTATTTGAGTAGTGGATATTATGTATGACTTAGAGTTAGATTGTCCCCTTGAGGGATGATGTATTTGTAAGAGTTTCCAGCACCTAGGATTTTCTTGGGAAAGGCTACCGTCCACCTAGTCAAATGATGGATGGTCGAATCCCTATTTCCAATGGAAACGTGAGCTAGTAGCGACTCTGACTTTATCTTTATCTAAGACATGTCTTAATCCATGTTTTCCTCCTCGGGCGAGGAATACTTAAGGGCGAGGTGATACCTTTCTTCGGGCGGCCTTGTGTCTTTTCCTTCACCTAGGCCGATCTCGGGGTATCGCCCTAAGTAAGGTGTTTTGGAAATATAATACTACATTAATAAATAATTCAATACAAGTAACAAAATTATTGGCCTCTATGGCTTACACCAACATGTTTTTGCCATACCTGGACCATTTTGTTCTAATATTTATAGATGATATCCTGATTTACTATTATACTCCACAAGTGCACGAGGAGCATCTAAGGATTGTGTTATTTGTTCACTCGAGAAAAGAAGATTTTTTCAAAATTCAGTTAATGCAAATTTTGGATGTCAGAAGTCAGGTTCCTCGGCCATGTTATCTCTCAAAGAGGTGTGGCGGTAGAACTTCACAAGGTAGAAGTTGTGATAAATTTGAAGAGACCTAAGAATGAGTATGAAGTTAGGAGCTTCTTTGGGTTAGTTGTATATTACTGAAGGAAGTTCCTTTCAGTTGGAATTCAAATATGAGCATAGTTTTTACGAGTTAAAGGAAAAGTTAACTATCGCTCTCGTTTTAATGATTCATGATCCTAATCAGAGATATGAGGTATTCAGTTATGCTTCAAAGAAAGGGTTAGAATGTTTTTAATGCAAATTGGCCAAGTTGTAGCTTATGCATCTCGACATTTGAAGACCCATGAGGAAAATTATCCAATGTATGATCTTGAACTAGTTGTTATTGTCTTTACACTCAAGGTGTGGCGACATTACTTATACAGAGTGCACTTTGAGATGTTCAGAGAGCACAAGAGTTTTAAGTATCTCTTTGATCAGAAAGATTTGAATATGCGTCACCGGAGATGGATGTAGTATTTGAAAGATTATAACTTCGAGTTGGCATACCATTTGGGAAAAGCCAATAAGGTAGAAGATGTGTTGAGTAGGAAGGATATACATACAATTGAGTTGGTCATGTTAGAACATGATTTGTTGGACAGAAAATGGGGAAATTGGCAAGATCGCTTACCCTTGATCGAATTCACCTACAATAATAGTTATCTTTCAAGCATCGGGGTGGTTCCATATGAATCCTTGTATGAGAGAAAATGTAAGACGCCTTTGTGTTGGGAGGAAGTGGGTGATAAAGGAATTATTGGACTTGAGATAATCCAAGAAACCATTGAGAAGATAAGAATGATTCAAGAGAAAATGAAGAAGTCTCGGGATCGTCAGAAAAGTTATGTGAATCAACGTGAGAGTATAAAATTGATAAATAATGATTAAATCCTTAATGACGTGTTGTTTTTTCCTGATCAACTAGAAATTTTAAAGTATGATTGTGAGAGAACCTATGAGTCGAGTGAGAACCCCTTAGAACGGAACGATGAGTAGAAGTGTAACGACACTTCATTTTTAACACATGTTGATAATGAGATTCCGAAAGGGGAATCCATTATATGAGTATAGTAACTATCAGAGCACCTAGGGATGATCATGAATGTAGATTATTATCAGGAGTATAAGAATCAAGAAAAAGGAGTCAGGTAATCCCTGAAGACCTTACTCTAGTGGTCATGATCCAAGCAAGAAGAGGCGAGTAAATCCGGAAAACCTTGCCTTAGTGGGAATATTTTAGGACTCAGGGAGGTAGGTCGCACTATAAAACCCGCTCTAATTGTGGACATAACCCTTTCTTTACTAAACAATAGTTTCAACTTGTCCAATATCTAACACAAATTCTCTGTATGCTCATATTTCATATTGGAAAATGCAACAAAAAATGTCAACTTGGTTGACGTCATACCAATAATTTCAAACAAAGATTGTCTATATTTATTTGTCTTGTATGTGTTGTCCATAATCAACACAGTAGGAAAAATATTCAACAATTTTACTAAATCTTGGTGGGTCCAAAAAACATCTCTTGCAACATCTGAGTGACATCTACTTCTACTCTAGTAAATATAATATGCATCATATATCATCTTAAACAAATATTGTATCTTAGTTCTAGGACCTTTAATCTCTTTTTGTAATTTACTCTTATGTTTATATATTTGTGTGATCCGAGTGACTTTCTCCCGATCTCGCTTTTGCAAGGACAATAATATGTGTTCGAGTGGAACCATCTTTTACATCAATCTCCATCTTGAACCATCTTTAGACGATATTGGTCTAATTTTGAATGTACAACCATATTTTTAGTAATATTTTGTGTTGCAATACCCGCTTTCTTTTATTTTTCACTTTTATCACAACCAAATATTAATTTGATGTCTCTCGATGTCTTTCTTATTTTAATATCCAAATAGATAATGATAATAATTACATTATGTATGATTTCAACATCCTTAATCCATTTTATTATTTCTTCTTGTGTACTAAATTTTGTATAGTTAATAATACACCAATGATGTCTAAACATATTTAATTTTTATCACATGTCTATAAAGAAATCTCCATATATTTGAAACATAATTTTAAAAAAAAGTGCACACCATATTACTTATATGTATGTTATCCGGTGAACTAATATGAAATTAACCGGAAAACTTATAATCAATTTATCTGATATAAATTATAGTATCATATAACTACGATATAAGTTTTCCGGAGGAAGTTGTATGTTGAAAGAAAAATATGTATTGAAACTCTTTAAGCAAAGGTTTATTGTATTCTAGTGTAGGAGTGCACAATGCATATTCATCAATTTTAAATAAAAAAAAAGTTAAAAATGTGATAGTAAAAATTGAATGGTAAATTATTTGATAAGTGAAAAAGGACAAAATGAGAACATTTTTATAAATTGTAGGGGTTGAGAAGATAATTGTAGGGGTAGAGGAGTTCTTAAATATATGTGGAATTGAATGACCCGGCCCATTAAAGTTATATTTGACCCAACCCAGCCCATTAAAGTTATATTTGACCCAACGCAGCCCAATGTAAAAAACGAAGGTTAAACCCTAACTGATTTTCTGGCTGCCACCATCAATCTCAAATCCCATCACCGACGATGAGCGTTCCCAAAGCGGTAGCAGCGACGATCCGATTGCGCGTTCCAGCCGGCGGAGCACGTCCAGCACCACCCGTCGGACCCGCGCTAGGTCAATACCGCCTAAACCTAATGGCGTTTTGCAAAGACTTCAACGCACGGACCCAAAAATTCAAGCCAGACACACCAATGGCAGTCACAATAACAGCTTACAAAGACAACACATTCGAGTTCATCGTGAAATCTCCCTCCGTCTCGTGGTACCTGAAGAAAGCCGCCGGAATCGAGTTAGGCAGTACTCGCCCCGGTCACGTGACCGCCACGACGTTGTCTCTCCGGCACGTGTATGAGATCGCGAAGGTGAAACAATCTGATCCGTTTTTGCAGAATATGCCGCTTGAGTCGCTTTCGAAATCGATTATTGGGACTGCTAGTAGCATGGGAATCAAGATTGTGAAGGATCTTGATTGAATTGGTTATGGGGATTTGAAGTTTGGTTTTGAAAGTGTTGAATAATGTTGTTGATTGTTGTTTATTCTGTTTCTGATATGATCAGTCAGAATTTGGTTTTGTTATGTTCAATACATGTTTAGTGGAAGAAAGTGATTATAATCTAATCTTATTGTTACTTAGCTCATTGGTTTTTAATTAGCCAAATCTATGTTAATGAAATTAACAGTTAGGTAGGAAAATAAACTGCTTGTTACCATGATTACTAGTATATATCATATCAAACTCACAAGTTGTATTGTCGTAATTTGAGACAAAATTGAGGCTGGTATAGAAAGCCATCCATGACCTAGCAGGATGTGAGTCTTTAGGCTCACGACTATGTTCCAGTAGGGAGCGTGGTGGGTGAGTAATCACCGATGAAATTAATGGACTGAGTTTGTTGAAAACCAGCTCTGAATTGTGTACAATAATTGGCATCTTGGTTGGAATTTCAAGTTCAGGTTTTTTAATCAAAAGAAAATTTCAAAATCTGTTTTAAAATTTGGACTGTTTGTTCTTAATCGAACAGCCAAGATGAATGTTTGCAGTCACATCACAGCTAATCCAAATCCAGACAATCAGGGAACTCCCAGTTAAGAAGTACATCGTTTTCTCATGATAAAGGAAAAGAACACTTGGCTAAAAATGACATTCCACAAAAGCACAATGAGAAAACAACCAATGGACCCAAGATACATGGGAGGGTCTACCATCCCAAATAAAATACAGACCAATTTAAACCTGTCTTTTGTCAAATTCCTTTTCCTACAAAAATCAAATGGATATTTATATCTTTCAAGATTTTCATCAACCAACTCTTAAAGCAAAATTGGAAGTTTGCATCTTACAATATTTTTCAACTCAGATTTGGCTAATATAATGCAGAAGAACAAGTTTGTAGAAAAGATGAATGTGATAGTAAAAAAGATTCGAAAACAAAAACAGAAACGAGATGATAAGCACAACTCAGTTTCTGATATAAGCTAGCTTAAACATTCTATTTACAAACCAAGGAAAACAAACAGCAGCAAGCTAAAAATTATGTTACACCGAAATCATCATCCCGAAATGCAGGACATCAAAAGCATGCTGAAATTAGATGACAAGCTGATTGCACACACAAACAAACAGGAGATTCTAATATACAGTTAAGCGACGGCCTATCATGAACAAAGTTAGTTTCTAATCAGTTTAGTTGAAGCGAGCTGATTCTGAAAGGAACTGTTTATTAACAGTTTAGCAGGGCTTGCGAGTTGGTTCTGCTGCAAAGGTGGCGGGCTCGGCAGTGCATCATCCTCGGTAATACGAAACAAAGTCACTTGCAGCACGACGTCCTTCGTGTCAACCAGCTCAAAGACGCACACGTCGCCTTCTCCTAAATTGTTCTCTAACGAAAATTCAAACCATCCTTGGCTTAACTTAGCTCTACCGCTTTTATAAAGACAGCGAACCGGCCACTGTCTTCCGTCTGAGATTTGAAGTTTGATAATTCCTGAAACGCCATTCAAATTCTTCTCCGCAAAGCATGATGGTAGATACTGAAATTGATGAGGACATAAAGAATTTAGTATGCAAGATCAAAATGTCAAAAAACAAAAAGATAATGGTGTTGGATTCGAGTGATCACCATTATGCATCCCTTATATAAATAGGAGGGTCGCAGGACGACTCGACAGAAAGGATTAGATGGTTCAAATGCTTTTGCTGCATTGATAGCCTTTTCTCTTTCTTCAGCTGTAGCAGTTCTTTTCCTTGCAGACGCACTTTCATAAAACCTATTGCGCATTTCTACCTCATCTTCGTGTTCGGAAGGAGGTTCCTGAACATCTGCACTTGCAAAATTGTATTTGTTTACAAATATTTAGATAACGAGATTAGAGAAAAAAAACCGAGTTTTAAGCGATAATTAAGACCTGATTTTCGTTTCTTAGTCGCAGTTTTTTTAACCTTTTCATCAGTGGCCGCACGCAACCTCACCTCTTCAGTAGACTTTTTAAACTCAATTACATTAAACTGGAGACCTATATCTCGGGTCAAGTGACTGTCTATTGAACTAGCACTTCTGGAAGAAGGAGTATTCCCACTTTCTCCCCAGTTTATGCTATTAAGTTTAGATCCATTAAACAGATTCTGCAGAGCTGGAGGCGAACGAGACTTGCCAGGCGTGAATTTATCAGATGCTCCAAAAACAGCTTTGTTTGGAAACGGGCTAGGAGTAAGGTTTGTAGGCGACGAACTGAGGATTTCAATGGAATCTTCGTCTTCCATTTCTTCGAAAATCTTAAGACGTTTTGCAACAAGAGACCCTTCGTTACTGCTTTGTGCGGGCGATTGATAGTTAATCTCAGAAGTAGCCAAACAAAATATATTCACATTGAAAGACGACTTTCCTAAGTATCTGAACAGCAACAAGTATCCAGCACCGATGGAATAGTTTTGAACAAATTCACGCCAGCCATTGAGGAACCAAAATTTGTTGTCTTCCTTTTTCAATTCTACATGCCACACACTTCCGTCAGGAACTATGAGAGTTACAATCGGAGAAATATCGCCCCCGTATTTCCTCACAAAATCATCTGGAAGCCTCTGCAATTCATAAATCAAGTTAGGTTCCAAATACTTGTAACTTGCTATGATGAAATAAAAGAAAAAACACCAATTCATTTCAAAGAGTGTGAGAGATAGTAGATCTCTAAGGCAAAGTACACTATTCTCTTTGCTCCTATTTATAAGAAAAAGTTTACTTTTCACATATATTGATTAACTATTCTCTCTGGTCGTTATTATAAAAGATAGTTCATTTTTTAGATTTATTCAATGATCAATGTATCTAGTCTATATATGGACCAGATACATTAATCATTGAATAAATCTGAAAAGTGGATTTCCTCTTATAATAAGGACCAGAGGGAGTATATGGACCAGATACATTAATCATTGAATATTTATGAAAAGTCAATTTCCTCTTGTAATAAGGACCAGAGGGAGTATCATATACTGCACAATATACATTGCTTATTCAATTATTTACCCAAGATATATTGAATTTAAAAAGTAAATTTTTTCTTGGTTGCTGGTCACTTGTATCTTCTATCATCTAAGACTTTCTAACATTAATGATTCTTTCCTTCACATCTATTTCAAAAGAAAAATATATCTAAACTTGATGAAAGAGGTGGCAAAGGAAAAACAAGACCCAGAAATATCATCAAACTTTCTTTCACTTTATCTAAATTCTCATAAACCCAACAATAAACTAGCCACTCCAAAAATAGATAAATAAATAAGCCATGCAAATCAACTAGAAAAAAAAAGTACAAAGTAAAAGCAAAAAACAAAATATAACACTTGAAATATTAAGAGAAAATTTAGGTATACCAGTTGCTTAGCTTGAAGAGTGGAAGGTAGAACAAGCTTGTGGAATGAAGGACAAGGCATTTTCTGACAGTGAAAAAAACCAAAACCTTAAAACGTTTGATGATGACCCTTTGAACAAAAGTTGAAAGCTTTGAACTCTAGTTAACTCAACTTTCAGATCTACTTCACCATCACTACCAATACCCTTTACATTTTGCAACTTTCTCAGCTTTTTTGACAAAAACAATGGTTTTTACTTTTTGAAGGCTTATAAAAAAACCCACCAAGAAAAAAGACATCAACTTGGCCTAATAACGAGTTGGGGACTCGGTGAGTCAGCACAAAAACAGAGGTTTTCCAAGTTTGGATTTTTCAAGCAACTTTCTTATTTCCATTTTTATAAAACCCACTTTTGTTGTTTCTTGTTTGGAGTTTGGAACAGAGTGAGTCGCTTCTTTTGTTTATAAAAAAAATGTTATTTTGCTTGTTTTTTTCTCTCTTTCACAATCTGAAAAAACATTTAAATTGCAAGTACTTTTATTAGATATTTTTATAGGGAATTTTTTTTCCGCCATGTTACTTTTACCAAAATCTCCGAACGAGACAAATCTTTTTAAACTCACCTCAGATTTTTCCTCTTTCATTCTTCATTTTCAATTCAAAAAGCTTTTTCCCATTTAAATACGTGAGCACTATAGTTTCAGTTAACTTTTAAAGCAACATAAGAACATCTACTTCTATCTTGTTAACCCCGATTCATTATACTTACTACACTTAATATTTTACATCTTCATCAATACATTTTTGAATAAGTTTCTCATTTAGGTTATTTTGAGTTTTGATTAATGTATTACGTCAAATAGGTTACTTTTAATGCATTAGATAGTATTAGCATTTGAAATAGGTAATGTATAGGAGATGTTTCTATCATTTGGATGATTTGGATGAGTTTTGAATGGTTAGAGCAAGTGCAGAGATGTTTCTGCCATTGAAATAAAAAATGAAGCTTTTTCGGAGATGTATCTCTAAAATGAGTTCTTTTTGATGTTTGGAGATACATCTCCAAATTCTTTCCTCGCTAATGCAGTAATATCTTTTCTTATGTTTTTTCCAAGGAAGCCCTGCAACAGTGTGAGAACATCAGGGGTGCACATGTCATGTTTTCTTGGTTGGAGGCACTTTTGTATCAAAATAAATTGGAGTTTGTTGTACCACAAAATTTTCTCTCTCATTTCTCAAGACATTTCCTCACAAGGATTTTCAAAAGTTCAATTTTGCACAAGTACAATTAGATTTTTAATGCCCCTGTAATTTCTATGGATCATATTGGATTTCCAAGCATCAGGTCAAAGAGGAAACCATTGAAAGAGAAAAGTAGATAAATTTGAGTTTTTGACAAAATTGGAGAAAAATAAGTTTGCTTTGATTCAAGCTGGCTTCGATTGGGCTTGGATTCCCTTTGCTAGCTTCTTTGATTCAGAAGGAAATGACCTTTTGAAAAGCTTCCTTCGATTTAGAAGGAAATGACCTCTTTGCTAGCTTCCTTCGATTCAGAAGGAAATGACCTTCATACTAGCTTCTTTCGATTCAAAAAGTTAATGACCTTCTGTTAGCTTCCTTCGATTCAGGAGGCAAATGCCTCATGTTTGGCTTTCTTCGATTCAGAAAGTTGATGACCTCCTGTTAGCTTCCTTCGATTCAGAAGGCAAAGGCCTCCTGTTTGGTTTCCTTCAATTCAGGAGGCAAAAGCCTATTTTCTGGTTTCCTTCGATTGTACCCTTTATCTCCTGCATGCATTCTTCGTTTGGGTATGTGGTTTCCTTCAATGCAAGTTTGGGTTACATCATTCGTTTGGCTATATGACCTTTGACAGACAAATTTCGTTTGGACGGTGGCTCTTCATGCGAGCTTTCGTTTGAGAAAAGACCTCTTGCATGTTGGCTTGAAGTCACAAAGCAATGGCCTCCTGCAGCTCTCCTTCGACTCAGAAGCCATTGGTTTTACAGATTTTCCAAATTCAAAAGGCAGAATTTCCCCTTCATGCTAGCGCTCACAAAGCAGGGACCTCCTGCATGCACCCTTTCGTTTGGCCATGTGACCTCTGGCAGGAAAGCCTTCGATTGGACAAGAGCCACCTTCACACAAAGCTTCGATTGGAGTTTTGGTTCCCTTCGAATCAGCATACTTCGAATCCAATATGAACCATTCGAAGCAAGCTTGTTTGAAGAACTTTGAGCAAATCTCATAGCCTTATCCTCTAAATCTCACTTTTCAGGTTATGTTGCTTCCAAATCTTTACATAATCAAAGGCTTACACAAAGGTTCGAAGCTTTGTCTACTGGATAATACTATTCTTGGATAAAATAGAAAAAAGCTACGTACCCTTTTTATATAAAGAGTACTTTAGTCACAAAATCAGCTCTCAATCTGATTTTTGTCTGAATGCAAGCAGTGCCAAAAGCATAAGTTCAATCTCCTGTCCCCAACAAACAACAGGCCCCCACTTGCACTTGAAACTTGGGAATAACGAAAGGGATCAATTTTGTTTTCGTTTCAACCAAACCATGGTTTGTTATCCTACAAACCTGGTTACTCCAACACCTCTAATCCTTTCTCTATAAATAGAGAAACATTTGCAAGCTGAGGAGGACTTTTGGGTAGTGTGGAAAGAATCTTCAAAAAAATCATCAAACTCTTAAAAACTCTTAAACTCTTAAGATTCTCAAACACTAAACACAAACCCAGAATCTAAAGAAACACAACACTTGTTTCTTTTTCTCTTTCAAATCTGAATAAATCCAACGCTTGGTTCCTTCTTTCGAATCCAGTACTAGAAACATAACCCTTGTTTCTTTCCTTCGAATCCAGGAGCACTCAGGGCAACCACTCAAGGTCCAGAATACACATTCCAACTTCAAGCAAGGTAAGTTCTCTTAACCTTAAGCTTTTTTGTTTCAAGCATAACATGTAAATAACCATTTCCTTTCGTTTCAAAACATCATCATTACCCTTTGGTTCGTATCGTTTCCACCTTCTCTGTTTTGTTTTCGTTGTTAATTTTATGGCTTGTTTTCTTTATTTATCAAACATGTTTTAAGAACTAACCTGGCCATGAAACAGTACTAGCATGGCCTCGGGCTATGTTGCTATTTAAATCCCAAAAGAAAGAAAACAGGAGGAAGAAGGTGTGAATCTAAGCTTTAGGCTTCACCCTTGGTTGCTTCACAGTTGTAAGGAGAACAAAGAGTGTGACCTTAGGCTTCGCCATACACTGACTCCCAGGCCATTCGAAGGAAGCAAAAAGGCAGAATCGAAAGCTACCCATACACTAAATTCCAGGTCCCATTTGAAAGAAACATGAAAGGGATGAAATCGAAAGACGTGTCCTTACTACTTGCAGGCCAAATCGAAAGAAGCTAGGAAGAGCAGAATTGAAGGGTGTTGTTGCCTGAATCGAAAAGCTCATTTTCCCTTCTTTATTTTGTTTTGTCTTTATATTTTCTTGCTATTCAATATGGTTGTAATAATGTAGGATATTTATTTTCTTCATTTTTATTGCTTTTGTACAAATGTTAGTAATTAGGATGTATGGCAAGATAAAACCAACAAGTAGACAACCCAAAAATCAAAGACTAAATGCATGCAATCAAACACACTATTCACAGATGCACCTCTAGGGTAATCCCATTTATTTCCTCGAAAAATATTCATGTCCCTCGAATATGGTCGTTTTAGCAAAGACCCTCGATAAAAGTTTGTAGTCCCTCGATGACCCTCGATGTTGCCTTCGGTAAACGATCTAGTCCCTAAACAACATTGCTAAATCATCCCATAGGTTGCCTTCTATGACTAAATAAACGACCCGTGCCCGTCCCTTCATATCCAATGATGGGGCTTCTTACCAAATCAATGGTAAGATAGCAACATCTAAAGGAGTAGTAAAAGAACAAAGACCTTTTGAGTAGGTAGGATGCTCATAGTTTCTCACTTGCTCACAACAAAAACATTTTTCCACACCAAAACTTTCAATTAGAACATTTTCAAAAGACAAAGCTCTTTGTACGCATTCTTATAGAGACGACAATCATTGCAAAGACACTTTTCAAAATCACTTTCAAAAACATATTCCACAAACACATTTTTGAACTATTTTTAAAACCAACACTTTGTACGCATTCTTATAGAGACGAGAACCATTACAAATACGTTTTTTTTAAATATTTTCAAACCCACATCACAAGCACGTTTTCAAACAAAAGCAAGTGATCTAGCAAGCAACTAAGAGCCCGTAGATAACTACGGATGAAAAGGGTGCTAATACCTTCCCTTTTCATAACCTACCCCCCGAACTCAAGAAATAATCTCAAAAGGTCTTTCCTCTTCTTTTCACCCTTTCCTTATTGGATAAAAGAAAAGGCGGGTGGCGACTCTTGCTATCCGTAACAATTGCAATCAAACGCAAAACACCAAAGTCAGTTCTCCCACCGTATTACAGAGTTGTTTGATGATCCCGACATCAATGATCTATAGGTTGGCTACCACTGGGAGTGTGTATTGAGATGCTTCTTCATATTCTTAGTTGGCACGTCCATGTTTATGGGCAAAAGTGCAAGCTACGTGGATGTGGTTGTTACACTTAGATTTTCAGCTAAAAGAAAGTCAACAAAGAATGTCACAATAAAAGGAAATTTAGGGTTATGAGACATGAATGAAGTGTTAAAGAGAATTAAACCAAGTATTCAAGAGCATTAATGCCAAAGTATCTTCAAGCTCTAATTATCTAGCATTGATGGTGCTTCGACCAGGGAGCTAATTAATGTGGCAATTGTGGTCTGGAAGAATCACAAGAACATATTCACAAGATTAGGATCACGTGGAAACATGTTAAAAATATTGAGAAGGACAATTGACAGGAATTATATGTCGACAGAGACGATGGTTGACAACCACTAAGAGTTTCAAGACTTGGAGAATTCTCCAGAATCTAAGTTTCAAGCAGGGATGATGTTGACGACACATTTGGAAGTTATCATTAAGACTTTGTGGGGGAATTTTTAAGTCGTTATTACAACATGGGTTGT